AAAGAAAAACCAAAAATAAACACCGAAAACCAAATAACGCTGAGTGCAAAAGCAAACACTTTGACATATTGAAGGTAGCGCAATCATAAACAAAGTGATTGGCAGCCGGATTTAGGATTTAAAAGAAACTTGCTCGTTCAAGAAATATGAAAAAAGGAGCAAAAGGCGTCTACCAAAAAAAAAAACGTAGGGTAAATGTGAAAATATCCTCTAAAGCATTTGTTTGCTAGTTTTTTTTTTTGCGGCATCGATTGAGGGGCAGTTGGCTAGAACGCATCAAATCCACATTGATTGTGCAAATCCTTCGAATATTTTTCCACGCGCCTATGCGTTTCTGCGCTCTTCTTCACCCCACATTTTCTGGCATAAACCAATTAAATGTACTACGCTTCTTTTCCTATTGTTATTATTCGTATTTTAAATGATTTATTACTACCGATTCCCCCAGTTTTAATGAATAGGCCTATCGCTACGGTAGCGTTTAAGTTTTCGATTTAACTTTCCTTAGCCGGTGTGGACACCTTTGTACAAATATAAAGAGAAATAAGCTTAAAAACCAAGCAATCTTAACGCAGTGCAATTAGATTAATATTGCGAATTATTGTAACACATCGATATCTAACTTACTGACCTACGGGTACTTCATTATTTGCACTGTTGGCGCTTTCACGCGTAGAAAATGGGATAAACTCAATTCCAACTTTTACAATCCTACTCCATCACATTGCCTGTATGTATTTACTGGGTGTTAGATATTACAAATGCGTTTGCACCTAATTAAGTTTCTATAATGACGTATGTATGTATGTATCTACTTTTGATACGCAAAGTGCTACTCAATCGATTTTGACTAGACCATTAATTGCCATTAAATCACAGTGAAACATTTATTTTTCTACAGTGCACTTTTGTATGTCTGCCCGGTTGTCTGCGCAATATGCAGGCATAGTCCCATGAAATTCGGTATTTGTTTTTCTATTTTTATCTTTATTTTATTTTGCATACAGTTTTCCAGTATCTGCTAAACTTTTCTTTGGGCTATGCGTTGTTATTAAGCAACAAAAAGTAATTTATTCGCCTTGATTTGAGGGAAAGCAGTGTCGGCGGCTAAAATTACTGCGAAAAATTATATTCCAAGAATTTTAAAGCTTTGTGAATATTTAAAGCCGCAATAAAATTGCCAATTCAATTCCATTTACGATTTATTAAAACAATTATTTTTTTTTGTATACTGTATATGTGTTTACGTGATTTATCTGCGGAAAATGTATACCTAGGATGATTAATAAGGCAACAGAGATTATGCTGCTAAAACTTAATTTTATGGATATGAAATATGTCATTAAAACCTAAAAATATGGAATAAAAAATATGCAATTTAGGTCTTGCATTTTATTAGCTTAAATAACTAAGATAGGTTTATCGTAATCCACACAAGTGTTTACATATTAATTCCAATCACATGAAAAGCTACAAATACATACAGTGAACCAAAATAAAACTGGGACGCGACATTTTTTGAAAATAAAATGTGTCTTTTGGGAGGGAGTAGCAACACAAAAATATTTTTAAGGCCCAGTGAAGCACGCCGGGTATTTACTAATAGAATATGAGTTTGCGCCGATCGAGCTAAGAGCAACCGGGTGTGACATCATCAAAGTGACTGAACCAGAGAGTAAAGTATAATTTCAAAGAAGAAGAGAATCAATCGAAGTGGTTGAAATACTTAGTCATGTAAAACTAGATAAAATTGTATCTACTCTTCAGCCTCTTAAATTTGGACGTATATTTGGCACAAGATCATTATTTTGGTTAAATTTGGAACGAAAAATGTATTTTATTTTCAAAGCGAAGTAGATATGGTACCAATGGAAGAGGTAGTCCACCAACTATCAAACGTGTATGCACATAAAAATATATATTTTCTTTTTAGGTAGGTTTATCTACTTTTAGGTACAACTTTTCGGCAAATAGGTATAAAATGAAAATTAGTTTTCATCACTAGTGCGCAAAATACTTTTGTGACGTCAGCGAAGAGGTTAATGCTGATAAATGGGCAAAGAGAGAATTAGCAGACCGCCGAAGGCATCACCATCGTTTCGCTGCACCGTGTATCATAAATGCAAAGCAAAATAATACCGCGTTTTGATTGCCAATGTTACTGACCTTACAATTGCAATTGAAGTTACAATTATTAGAATTCCCTTACTTCTCACAGATCGCCTTTTTAAATTTTAAGTTCTTCAGTTTCCTCTGAGGATTATGCCGAATTTCCACTAGGCATTAAATGGCCGAAAATTGAAATGACAATATTGAGCACCAAAAAATATTCGTGTCATTACGTTAAAAAAATTGTTATTAAATTCAGTTTTACATGGCATTCTTTAAATGCTTCCAATTTTTTATAATTTCAATACTTCGTGGGAATTCGGCATTACCTTCGTAATATCAATAAACAAAACGAAGAACCTGGTTGTAACCACATTTACACAGTGACTCAAACAAGTGAGCACGTGTTGATTTTTTTTTAATATTCGTAATGTTTTTCGTCATTTTTTGGTTATTTTTCTATCAAAATACCAAATTCAAGCTTTAACTGAAACCATATAAACCACAGTTTCAAACTTTATACAAAATTTAGGAAAATTTAACCAATTTTAATTAAAATTTCAACTTTATAGTCTGAATATTTGGAACTTTTTTGGGCATGCAATTTTATAGCTCATGTTGTCATATTTTTATGGAAAAATAGAAAAAAAAAAATTAGCTCGGAAAAAATTATGAATGTTAAGCAAAAAAATCTCACGTAGTCACTTGTTTGGGTCACTGTATGTGGGATGCTCAAGCATGGTACACTACAAAACTAAAAATATTAGGAGGCTTTGAATTACATAAATAAAACGAAAAATTCAACTTAAATCTAAATAGTTTATGTCTCCACTAATTCAGGCTAAACAACGAAAGGTTTGACATATTTCTTATACGCTGAAAGAGAATAAGGATATTATCTGCGAAGGACTTTAGCAACAAGTTTTAAGTAAAAGATGAAAGAGTTGAAGTTGGCCCAAAACATATAAAACGAGCCTCAACCCCTGAAGCCTAAATCGAGACAACAAAAGTCCAAATCATTTTTATGTGCAAATTTCAACTTCATGTATACAAATTTCTACACAGGTTTATATACATACACGTATATTTATTTGCTTCCCCATACCAATAATGCTTATGAATTTTATAAATATTTATGCGTGTAAAGCAGCACATTCCATCCACTTGTTTACATTTACGTTTAAGTCGAGCATGCCGAGAAATGCCGTTGTTTGCACGAAACCATCAAATCCATTAAAATTATATACGCTTGTGTTTCTTTATTTGTTTGCTCAGCTTTCAGCCACGCAATTTCAGGTCCTCATTTCGGTCACCTATAAAGTTATGTGTGGACAGAGTACCCCACAGACGCGTAGCCACCGTGTAACAATTTTTTACGCAATACGATGCTGTAATGTGCTGCTGTCCGCGAATACTCACACACGCCCTGTCACACAATTCAAGCGTATGTATGTAGGTAAACACCACGTATGTGTGCTTAACACTTTCCCACTCGCCTTTCTACAAAATATTTCATTGAATGCGGTTAATTTGTAACGCCAATTACTATTTGCCTTATTGTGTGTGTAACCCTTTTTATTTGCTTTTATTCTTTTCACTCAGCTTCCTCCGTGTTTTTTTTTTCTCTTTACAGCGACGATGACATTTCATTCATTTTACCCTGGTGGCGCCAAGTGCTGTGGTCTATACTATTCGGTGGGATGGTTATTGTGGCGACCGGCGGAAATTTAATTGTCGTTTGGATTGTTATGACAACGAAAAGAATGCGAACCGTTACCAATTACTTCATAGGTGAGTCATATATTGTTGAAGCATAAATTAAAGGGGAAAAAACGAAGACAGACATGTCAGCCATAAATGAAATCTCGTTAAAGCGGCGAGCGTGTGTGCGTCTTGTTTTTTCTTACACTGCAAAATAGTTTAATATGAATATTTTTAAAAAGAGGGTCGTATATGTTCGTGCACATACTTACGAGTCGTCGATGTTTTTGCAAAACCGCCTAAATCGCGTTTGTGTCAAAAATGAGATTTGGTAACCCTGAACTCCAGGCATCGAGATTTATGCATAAGCCACTATATAAATAACTTTTATAACTTGGTAAAATTAATGTTTTCTAATAGAAATATTTGGAAAAAATGTATTTTCATAAACCCATAAATTAAACAAGTAAGAAAGTCTAAGTTCGGGCGGAGCCGAACATTAAATACCCGGCGCAAGTATTAAATATATGTTTTTTCACCTTTCCGAAACCTACCGCTAGATGGTAAGCCGGGGTGTATACATTTTAAGTAACCTAGCGTCCTTAAATTTCGAAATATTGCAGTTTCAAGCATATCTGAAA